GATTTAAAATAAGCAGTTAGATTTTCTGTAATGACATCAGGAGGTGACCTCCCCCCAAAAATACAGAAACGACTATATCGTATTAAAATAATTAATTTATGTTAAATTTAGGATGCATTAGTCCAGCTGTTTCAGTTTATATACATATATCAAGGCTGCACAAACATTTTCCCCAAAATGAAAATCTGAGGGCTGTTGGCCAAAACAATAATATAATTCATAAAATACAGTATCAGAATTTTATGTACTTCTTGCGACAACCACAATTAAATTCACTCTATCTAGGAGGCACAATTTATATGGATAGTATTTATTTTTTAATATAACAAGCTGGAATGAAAACAAGAAAAAATGAAATAAAAGTAATGACTTTCTACTTCTTATCTTTTTTTAAATGTAAGGAGTATAAAACAGATAATTGTGTGAAAATGTAAGAAGTAGTAAAAAGTAGGCTGAAAAATAATTACCATACTCAAGTAAAGTACAGATACCCAAAAATTCTACTTAAGTACAGTAAAGAAGTATTTGTACTTAGTTACTTTACAACACTGAGGTGAACATTAAGTTTCTAACAACAAGTTTTATGGAAGTCTTAAATATACATTGGTTTAAAAAAATTACATTTTAATTTAATTCTGCATTTTAGAAAACAAATCTGAAAACAGAAACGGTAGATTCAATCATTTTAATGACATACATCAATCAAAAATAGTATAAATACTTTAATATTTTGCACTGTAAGTACTGTAAGTGTAAACAGAATCTAAATGGAACATTTAACATAGACACAAAGTCTAACTACAGTCACATAAAATGCTCTGATTGGACCACAGAATAAACACAGATATAAATAATCTTATATATGTTATCATGGCTCATTGAAAAAGTCTAACAGTGAATTTAAATCATAATTATCAAGTATTTCCAACAATGACGACACCTTTGTTTTCACATTCTGACCTTTGAACTTGAATTTATCAATGAAGAGATCAGTGATCATTCCTGAAGGGAAGGTAAAAACACAAAAAAACTACAAGTGACTGCGAGCCGAAAGGTTTTATAACCATAATAATGAGTGACAGTGAGGTTCCCAAACCTTACCGTAAAGCCTCTCGAGGTGTGCCGGCTGCTTTTTGTACTCTTCCAGAAGATTAGCAGATTCATCCAAGATGCTGCGGTATTCTGGGATGAGGAAATCAGCGTTCCCCTCGTGGACCTGAAGCTCCTGTGAAGCGCAGAGGAAACGACGGTAAAACGAACCACRAGTGAACAAAGACAGAATGCTTTGAAATAAACAAAACTCACCTTCAGGGCATCGACGAGCTGAACCTTTCTAGCCAGCAGCAGCTGGTACTCCAGCTTTGGATGAATCATCCTGAGTGTGTGGCTCACAGAGTCATCGTTAATGTCTGGAACATTGATAAAAACATAATTTTTTCATACATTACTGCAAAATATCCGCTTTTACTGAAATAGAAAACAATGAACCCACCATAAGAAATGTTCAGATTGATTTTCTTTTTGGTAGCTTCTTTGGAAAGAACATCACTCAGAATAGAGATGGTCGAAATATTGTCAGACTTGAAGTGGCCCTCTCCTTTGCTGAAATAAAAAAGTCAGACATRTTAATATTAATAGTTTAAGGATGAAGCCAAGTAAACAAGATCAAATGAAGTATAAAAGGATTTTAACAGATGTATTTTTTCCAGAGACTGTATAATATTTGCAGGACTTAGCAACAGCATTCAACTGAAAGTGTATAAAGTTTTTATATAAAGCTGTTTTCTGTTTGCTTCCATTTACCAGTATGTGGCTTCAAGCTGTGTGCCGAGGAACGTGTTGTGGAAGTAGAAAGTGATGCTTTCTCCTGCTGGTGTTTTCTCAGGCACTTCTGGCAAACAGAAAATTACCCAGGAGTGGATCTCTGCAAAGCTGAACTGCCCCACCAAACTGAGCTGATTCATGGGCCTGCAACACAGGGGCAAAGACAAGAGGTCAACAATAACACTTAATTAAAAGAACAAGAGCTGTCACTAGTTTAACAATACATTATTTACTTTAAACGTTGATCTTTATAACAAATCATTAAGAATTACAGATTTTAAAATTAAAGAATATAGTCTAAAGATAGAAGCTGGTTTTGAGTTTCTTAAATTATATTTATGTTCAAGTTTATGCAACATTGTTTACTTTGGATATGATAAATACCTTTAATTAACTGTTATGTTGCATTGCATTATGTTACGTCTAATTATGTTACATTAAATCACACTACGTTACATTAAGTTACATTAAAWGACGTTGCATTATATTAAGTTAGATTACATTAAGTTACTTTACGTTACATTAAATTACGTTGCATTATATTAAGTTACATTACATTACATCACACTACGTTACATTGTGTTACGTTAAATTACGTTACGTTACATTAAGTTATGTTAAATGATGTTGCATCATATTAAGTTACGTTACATTAAGTTACGTTACATTACATTAAGTTACGTTAAATTATGTTRCATTATGTGAAGTTAGATTACATTAAGTTTACATTAAGTTGCGTTAAATTATGTTGCATTATATTAAGTTACGTTACATTACATCACACTACGTTACATTGTGTTTCATTAAGTTTCGTTACATTACATTAAGTTACGTTAAATTACGTTGCATTATWCGAAGTTAGATTACATTAAGTTTACATTAAGTTGCGTTAAATTACATTGCATTATATTAAGTTACATTACATCACACTACGTTACATTGTGTTACGTTAAATTACATTACGTTACATTAAGTTATGTTAAATTACGTTAAATTATGTTGCATTATATTAAGATACGTTACATTAAGTTACGTTACGTTATATTAAGTTATGTTAAATGACGTTGCATTATATTAAGTTACGTTGCATTAAGTTTACATTAAGTTACGTTACATTACGTTAAGTTAAATTAAATTACTTTGCATTATATTAAGTTACGTTACATGACGTTGCATTAAATTAAGTTACGTTACTTTACGTTACTTTACGTTACATTAAGTTACGTTACATTAAGTTACGTTACATTAAGTTGCGTTACATTAAGTTACGTTATTTACGTTACATTAAGTTACGTTACATTATATTAAGTTGCATTACATTAAGTTACATTATTTACGTTACATTAAGTTACGTTACATTAAGTTACATTACGTTATATTAAGTCATGTTACGTTAAATTAAGTTACATTACATTATGTAAAGTTACGTTACATTATATAAAGTTACATTACATTAAGTTATGTTACATTAAGTTACGTTACATTATATTAAGTTACGTTACATTAAGTTACGTTACATTATATAAAGTTATGTTACGTTAAATTAAGTTACATTACATTATATTAAGTTACGTTGCGCTATATGTTACAGTACATTATATGTTACAGTATGGTATGGTATGGTAACCTTTACCTGTCTTGATCAATGCTGTGCATCCGCTGGTGAAGGGATAAAGGTTTGATCTGATACTGTCGAACCTGGCAGGTCTTAGGTTGCAGTCTGGGAGTAACGTAAGCCTGCAGAGTCCCATACTGTCCTTCGATGGATCTCACCTATGAAAACATGTGACTGAGGATGAAATATGTTTGTCTACTTTAGTTTATAGTAGTAGCTACTTTTAATAGAGCATTTATGTAACACCTTTTTTAGAATTACAATGCAATTAGGCAGTAGAATGCAAAATGCATGTTTTTTTGTTGCTTTTTTTAACCACACTTGGCCTACTGTGTTGTTATAGTTTTATATGCAAATGTAATCACTGAAAAGTGGAACACACATTAGTCTTATTAGAGGCTGACAGATGTACTGCTTACCTTAAGTTCAAGTCTGGTAGTGTTGGCCTGACATCTGTATGTGGCCAGCAGGAAGTTCCCGTTAGGCTGTTGGAAACAGAGTCAGAGTCAGAGCTCTGGGAAAAGATGCAACTTATATAATGTTGGCCCTCTGTACAGTTCATACAGCCCACCTCTGAGTCACATTCACTGAAACTGACAACAGCTGAATTCTTATCTACGTCCAGCAGGTCTATGGGGACGTCACTCTGTGCCAAAACAYAAAAGTTATTTTAAGATTCGAGAACGTTCTTCTGTTGTGTCAGCAGAGGGTCTGTGCTTGGGGTTACCTGGAGCAACAGGTTGTCGATGGCGGTCTGCACCTCCAGCGTGAGGCTGTAGCTGGCGTCGTCCTGGCTGAGCGTGAACTTGTCGTTGATGCTGAAGACGGGGACGGCGGAGACAGCCGTGCTCGACTGAGAGGTCTGCTGGTACTGCTCACGACCCTGCAGGACTTTCACCTGCAGCTGCTCCAGCTCCGACCTGGGAGGGGACAACGAGACCCGCTGAGAAACAGATTYGTTTTTAAATCGAGCAGAAGAGCTTAAAGAATGTCTGATACCTGAGGGATTCTATTTTCGACTGCGTCTCTTTGCTCATCCTGACCTCGTCTCCTGGACCGGCCTCAGCCTTCTGGGGCTCAGTGGTCAACCCAGTGACCCATCCTGGAAAAGTTAACTGGTTTTAAATAGCTTCTGATACCAACTTAACTTACTCAGAACAGTTTAACAAATTATACCTCTAAACAAAAGACGAGTCCAGAAAAATAACAGATCAATTAAGTCTATTTTTTTTTTTGTTCTGTAGAAAGGGCACATAGGACACAATGACTGTAAAACCTTCTCATCTAACCTGTATATGTGGCAGTCAAAACCTCATCATAAGACTCTTTGCCCACACAGCCACCCTGGATGGAGGTCACACTCTCTGACAACACCTGGAACAGATATTAGGTTGTTACCTTTTTGTAAACATGGGCAATAGACCTCAAAGCTCAACATATGAAATATGATCTACCGGGCGGCACTGGTAACTGAGAGGCCGGCGCTGGCAAATGAGAAGGAGACTATTATTTAGCGTAAGCATTGGGGAGGCTAATGACTAGCATGGATAGGCTGGTGTTAGCATGGGAGAGGCTAGCGACTAATATGGATAGGCTGTTAGCGTGGGAAAAGCTAACGACTAGCATGGATGGGCTGGTGGTGTTAGCGTGGAAGAGGCTAGCAACTAGTATGGATAGGCTGGTGGTGTTAGCATGGAGGAGGCTAGCAACTAGCATGGATAGGCTGGTGGTGTTAGTGTTGGAGAGGCTAACGACTAGCATGGATAGGCTGGTGTTAGCGTGGGAGAGGCTAGCGACTAGCATAGATAAGCTGGTGTTAGCGTGGGAGAGTTTAACGACTAGCATGGATAGACTGGTGGTGTTAGCATGGGAGAGGCTAGCGACTAGCATAGATAGGCTGGTGTTAGCGTGGGAGAGGCTAGCAGCTAGCATAGATAAGCTGGTGTTA